ACAACAACAAAGACTAAAGGAGAAGGTCATGCGCGACTTCTGATCGAAGGTCATGCGAGACGTACTGTGAAAAAAAAACAGAGCTTTTAAAATATCTCCAATGACCATTTAGATTCTGGCTACCAAATACATAAATTTCTAACCTTCCGATTCGATGGTCTTGCGCGTAGGGCAAAGGTTTGACACCTTTATAATTGCAGTACCGTAACGAATCGGCTGCAACATTTCGGTCACACAACAGTGACCGTATTTAAGACAGAACATGCGAAGAACACATGTTAGGGTGCCAGTAGAAAGGTTCAGGAAGCTTCAATACGTGTAGACTGTAGTCTCAAGTTTTCAGCGATTCGAAAGAAGTTATACAATCGCCGGATAACATGCTCTATTAGCTGAATGTGTAATGAATCTTTAATAGCTGGTTTGACTCTTTCTTAATCATCCGCCTTCACTCCAACAGTCAGATTTCATCAGGAGTGGCAATTGATGAAATGATCAGAACAGTATTCTGAAGCTGTTGAGAGTTCTAACACAGAGATTCAGTTGATAGCTGGAAATGGAAAATATGCCATCAAGCTGGACGGAGTGAAAAACAATCGTGCTTATCAAGAAGAGCAAGAAGAAAGATTTGAAGAACTATAGCCCAATCCATCTCATCTCACGAGTTCACAAACTGAACACTGAATTCATCATCAACAAGATTGGAAAAACAGCATCCAGAAGAACGGGTAGCGTTCTGAAGGAGCTAACATATTTACTTGACATAAACTCTTCGAGAACGCGAGGGAGTGTCAACTTCCTCTGCACATCGCCTTCGACAATTAGGAGAAAGCGTTCAGCGTAGTCAAGCACAACGTCATGTTTAATGCGCTGGCGCAACAGACCATCGATGCACGTTAAAGGATGTGAACTCCGGATGTTTCACAAACATCAGGCTTTCGAAACTCCTTTCTGGATCCGGTAGAGAAGGGCTTGGAGCAAGAGGACAACTTCCCTCAGAAACCCATCACTGCCTGTTTGGAAATCGCGTTCCGGAGGATAAACTGAAAAGGCAGGATCGACATCAACGGGGAACACCTCAGTATCCTAAGATTCGCTGATGACGTTGTTGTTTGCCTGAAACGCCCGTCAACATAAAGACATGCTGCAATGGCTGGACAGAAAAAAACTACAAGTCTGACTACGAAACAATCGCTTGAAAACGGACATACTGCATTCGGATGCCATGCCGAATGTCCAGGTAATATTAAATGAAAAAAAAATTGAAGAAATTCAAGGTCAAGGGATCAAAATGTGACGTGATCAGACTGGAGAGATTCTACGGAGAAACAGAGCCTGTTAACGTGCATTACTTCCCATCTAGGATCCAGGATGTCCTGCTGGTCAAAATCAAGGAACAACCCGGCGCCCAGCATTTCAATTCTGTCGTCCGACCAGCAACGTTGTGTGGCTGTGACACGTGGTCAATAACGAACGCCGACAAACGCCAGCTATCTCTCACCGAGAAAGCCACGGAAAGAAGAATGCTTGGAATCTGGTATCGTGACCACAGTCCCAACACGGTGATCAGACAGTAGATGGAAGTAAAGAACGTCGCCGTCGAAAACATAAAGGATAATCTTCTGTCGTGGACAAGACAAGTAGCCACACACACACACGGACGGATGATGACCGGTGATGTACATCAATTACTACCCTCTGGTGAAGAGAAGGCCGCTTGGTATGCCAGCACAATGGTGAGAAGGGTACATCAGTTGCGGGAAAGGCCGCGATTGGAGGGAGAAGCCTCGAAATCATATGAAATAGTCAGAGCATTGGGTAGACGCAATCCGACCGGCCCAGAGACGTATGAAAGAGCGATGAAATAGCTACGATTAATTATACGAGATGATCCATAGTTCGAGTGACTGAGTGAAAAATTAACCTGATGTAAAAGGCCTAAGGAACCCACAGGACGATCATCTTTTTTCCATCACTTATATTATCTTCACGAAGATACTGAGAAGCATACATGAAGAAAAACTGAACTCTGTACAGCTCAACGGGCAAGCAGGAAACAAAAGCAGACTTAATGTGATGAATCATCTTCAAGTAGTACATGTAATGCATGGAATACGTGCAATCTCCAGACATGCAACGAATATAAACTTCTCTCCTCCTGGGGATCGTCAATTTCGAAAAAAAAAACGTTTTCAACTCAGTTTACATCCGGTCATATTGGATTCCTTCAGAAGTCAGGGAAACGAATAAGATATAAAGACCTCATCGCTATTATGTACAATAAGGCAGGTGCAATACACTTCATAATGCACCATCGAACTTACAGTCGAATTGGACCATGGGCACGAATCAAATCAAAGTAATTCATAACAGTAATAGAAGTAGTTTCCAGAATACCAAATTGACAAGATCAAGGGCTGTAGGCAAATGGACACTACTTAAAGCAACTATGATTTATGAACCATATTCTGATCCTTACAAAGTCTGCCGATGAACTCCAGAAAATAATCCAAGAGCTGAACGTCATCAACCTCAAAGCAGAATTGAACATGAGCTAGACAATGTTAGAGAAAAATGTGATCATAGGAAGTGTCGAAGTCAATGGACCTGTACTTTAAGAGGTCGTAAACTCGTCGTCCATCTCGGTCGATCTCTACATTAAACGTATCTCGTTCGTATTTGGGAGATTTCTCCAAGTCCTTGAAAAGGCTCATCTTCAAGTGCGAAACATCACTCATAAACATAAAACCTGTTCACAAAATGCAGACGAGGCAATGTGACATCAAAAAATCAATGTTGAAAGTGAAAAGAAGAAATGGAAAAATGAGTGAATGGGCAAGAGAACAATTGCAAGAGTTTTTAATGTCACCGTAGAAGCAAAGAAGCTGCAACGGCGATGGGCAGCAAACGCTGCCAGAAGAATCGCTCGTCGTTTAACCAGCGCTTCATGAAGCAGTAGAAAGTCAGTGCAAAGACCTTCAGATCAATGGCAGGACGAGCTGCAGAAATTTGCCTCAGCCATTCGCGCGACAGTCATTCAAAAAACAGAGTTTAATGCCGAAATCTTGCAGAGGCTTCCACCCTGCATTAGAGGGAAAAGGAGAACGGCTGACGATGATGATGAAGTGATGAGGTAAACTGTTTGACTCCAAGGCGTCAAAGGTTTGACGCTGGGCCAGCTCAAGTGCAAAACATACAGCTAATTTCGGCTAATCCAGCTAAAGATCACCACTGACCTGCGCGAAAGATCTCTCCGCAGGCATCGCAACGGGTCGCGAACGCCTGATCGTAACAGTTGCCGCAGAAGATGCGATCATTTTTCGATCCAAACGGCTTGTCAACCAGCGAGATTTTACACATGCTGCACAAGAAACAGTGTTCATGCCAGTGCTTCTCCTTGTAAGACAGATCCTGAAACAAGAATCTTCAATCATCGAAAGCAGCTTACCCGTCAAGGGTAAAAACATGTCGTTTATACATGGCTACGATGGGGCGCTTCGACGCTTCTGTTATTTCAGCGGTAGCGTTCAACGAAGTTGCACCAAGGGTACTCAGCCACATATGGCAACAGACCCAGTAACGGGGACAAAAGAAGCGACAAATGATTATTGACTGATTTATGATTTTTTTCGATTATCATCTTCACACATCTAGCACTGTTAATGATAACAGTCGGCGTAAATGATGCGAACCACTGAGCTCGAAGAGAGAGACCAAAGAACGGCACTAATCGATAGTTGATATGAATCGTTGGAGCTATATGCTCATGAATTTTAGTCACGCATGCAATCTACTAAAGTATGTACTTTTTGATAGGTGAAATCGTTTCAGGATTTACAACGTTTTTCGTACAATAAAACAATTTACTGAACTATCTACATACGGGTGTACACTTAAGATGTGTAAAGATGCATTTAATGGGTCTCGCAGCAGAATATCACTGCGTATTCTGTCGTTTCATTGATTATGATTGTACATGATGGCATTTAGGCAGTTTCTGGCTTCATTGCATCCGGCCGCGTGCAGCGTATACGAATCCTCAGTCCCTTTACTGACCAGAGCAGTATCAACGCAATTTTGACAACAGTCAAGACAACCTAAGCCACGCTGCGCAAGAGTGATGACGATAAAACGCAAATCATGTAAGATACAAACAAACGCCTGTTCAAACACTTCACATGATTTCTTTATGCGGGAGGTGATATGACCTTAGGTAAGTCACAAATGGGAAGACAACGTATAAAATTGTCTTTAAATATCAGGGACATCTGATGCTTTCGAAGAAGCTCGGTCCTTCCTCAGAGCATAGATATATATACAGCATATACATACTATATATAATATATATCATATATAGT